TTCCGGGGGTGTTATGGACAGAGTAGTTTCTCAGGTGATAAATTGATTATGTATTTGGAAGACAAACCTGTCTTTGATAGTTGAGGGTCTTTTAACATGCTAACATCTTTTGTAAATTGTAGATGCTTGCAGAAATCGATGGCCTTAACGATTCTAGCCAGGTACCTTATTCTAATCGATTTGTATTTCCATAATTTTGTTTTGTTTCAGTTTTCTTAATGAAAATTGTTTATCAAAATAATCTTTACTCGGATTTGTATCGTTGAGCTTTGTTAGGACCTCTTTATCATTGGAGCGAGTAATAGACCAGATCTGATTGACGCTGCACTTCTGCGTCCTGGTCGATTTGATAAGTTGCTATATGTTGGAGTGAACTCTGAAGCGTCTTACAGGGAACGGTAAGTTTGCATTCATGCATACGAGTAAACCCGGTCGATGTTCAATATTTAATTTGGTTACTTTTTCCAGAGTACTTAAAGCACTCACTCGGAAATTTAAATTGCACGAGAACATATCTCTTCTGTCTGTTGCCAAAAAGTGCCCTCCAAACTTCACCGGTGCGGATATGTATGCCTTATGTGCGGATGCTTGGTTCCATGCTGCAAAGCGCAAGGTCAGTCTTGTATGTTGTGTGCTTTGTGCACGCATCTTGCTTCGTACTCGATTTTAGATTACTTTTTAAGAAAAGGACAGTTGTTTTTGTCTATATAGAATAAGTATGTGGTGCTTGGAGACTTATATTGTTGAGGTTGTAAGTGGAGAAAACAAGACTCTTTATACTTCATGTCTGGTTCGTCATTGATTTATCTTTTGGAAGTTATGCTTATAATTATACTTTTTGTTGCTTTCCTCAAGGTTTTAAGTTCAGATTCAAGTTCTTCTCTAGATGACCAAGACGATGCTGTTGTAGTTGAATATGATGATTTTGTGGAGGTACTTCGTTATGTTTCTTCACTTATCTGTAGACTACTTTTGTTCATCTGATCTGCAGAAAAGAAAAAGAATTGCATAAGATCGTCCTGATGAGTTTTTATTGGGAATGGGGAAGAAAGTAAAGACACTTTTATGCACTTGAATTCTGTTAAAGAATAGGTTACTGAAACCCAAGTTTGGATAATCCGCATCTGGTTTATAGGTTCGTGATTCGTAGAAGTTAGTCTCGAATATAAAAGATAGTTCTTAATGTAATTTTGATTTTGATGGCCTAGAGGACTATAAATTCATAGCATAGATTAAGTAAATGTGAGATCCCATGTCGGTTGGAGAGGGGAACGAAGCATTCTTTATAAGGGCGTGGAAACCTCTCCCTAGGAGACGTTTTAAAATCCTTGAGGGAAGCCCAAAAGAAAAATCTAAAAAGGACAATATCTGCTAGCGGTTAGCTTGGGCCGTTACAAATGGTCTCAGAGTAAGACATCGGGCGATGTGCCAAGTATGACGCTAGGCCTAGAAGGGGGGGTGGACATTGGGTGGTGTGCCAGGGAGGACGTGAGGTCTTGAAGGGAAGTGGATTGTGAGATCCCACACCGATTAAAGAAGAATAAGTGCCAGCGATGACGTTGGGCCCTAAACTAAGTATTCTGGTGTGGAAATCTTTCCCTAGCAAACACGTTTTAAAAACCTTAAGAGAAAGTCCAAAGAGGACAATATCTGCTAGCGATTGTCTTGGGCTATTATAGTAAAAAACCTCCTTATCGAACATGTTTAACTTTCTAATCTTGGGCAATAGAACGACCAAATATCTATCTTTTTTTTATTAGTCTTCAATATTTGAAAGAGATTATATGATCATCAAGTACCATTTGGGTGAGCTCAAAAAATTTGATCTTAATGCCCTTTATATACTCATAGGTCTTGAAAGAACTCTCTCCCTCACTGTCAATGGCTGAGCTCAAAAAATACGAGCAGCTGCGAGATCAATTTGAAGGAGCTTCAAAATAAGGTATGAATTTAGTTATTGCTTCAAGAAAATGAATCTGTTTCTTGTTTGTTCGATCTCCTTTGATTGGCCAATGATGAGTTGGTGGTTTTTTTTTTTTTTTTTTTTCCCTAAATATTAATATTATAATTTGTAATAATTAGTTAGAAAATAAGATTATTTAAAATCATATTTAAATTTTATTATAAAGATATACATACAATAAATCAATTAATATAAAGTTTAGATAAATTTGGAGTATTGAAATAACTTTAATGGTGATATACATAAAATCATATCTATGTATTATTTGCTTTTAATTGCTTATCCATACGAAATTTGACTTCTACCAACAACTTTTATAAAAAATAAAAATAAAAATAAAAAGTAAAATTCTTAAATATCAAATCAGAAGGTTTCGATATTTATCCCAATATTTAAATAATAAAATAATTGAATTTTATAAATGTTTTTATTAAAATTATCGTAAAAATAACTATAATACAATTATATATATATATATATAAATAAATATATCCTTTTATCTCTATTTGTCCATGTTCAAAAAATGTCCTCATCCACGGTGTATGCTGCTGGAAAGTTCCTGGTTAGACTGACACCTGTCGTTTAGCTCTAATTTTCCAGATAATAACAATTTTGCCATTCAATTTTTTTTTCCCCACAAAAATGTAAAATTAATTAATTTTTCAGTTTCTAAATTTTTGTCAAACTTACCAATTGCAGTCTTCAACTTGTTTTTTTTTTTTTTCACAATTCAAATTTCCATTCAAATTATTTTCTTATTAAATAAAATATATATTTGTAAATTTCATCAATATTAGTCAATTTATTCTCTAATTAAAAGCTTTGTGTTTGTAATTTTTTTTTTTTATTTCTTAAAAGAAATTAAAGATCTAAATGAAATTTGATTTTTTTAAAAATATATTTAATTTCGTTTGGTGTTAGAGCTTGTGTTTTGGTATGTGAGACAAGATTTGAATATAAGAACTTAAAGTAGTACTCTTACCTTTCTTAAAACTAAATATTAAAAGGAAAAGTATAACTGCTTTTCGGTGACTTAATTATAAGAACTTCAAAATCAACTGTTTTCTAATATATATATTTTTTTTTTGTATAAATGATTTTTACGAAAGGGCAAAATTGGAATAAAATGTTTGTGGTTTTATATGGACACTGTAGATTTATGGTTAGTTTTTTTAATTTTATTTTTTTATTACTATTTTTTTGGGTTAACACACGTGGAAGTCGTTTGAGAACGAGAAGAGTTGAAAACAAATAGCAAAAAATAGCTTCATATGGGCGGGGTATTTCTGACTTTTCCCAAGTCAAAATATTACCAATTTTTCAGATATAAATAATTATCATAGTCCAATTGGCAGGTTTGATATTTATTATTAAGCATGGTTAGATCAATAAATGGCTTGAAATTTTAATTAATGCTGGTGTTATACCTGTTAAAACCCTAGAGAACACGACTTTTCTAGTCGCATTTGGTTTTATTGGGAAGGTGTTGTTCGTTAACGGATTAAAGATAGTCACCCCTAAAAAGTCATTTGTCGTTAGTAAAACTAGCGGAAGCGTTTGAAAAAAATCAGAACTTCTGAAAAAACTTTACAGCTAAAGATGAATTTGATGAAGGGTATCTGAGATCGAGCAAAACACTATGGAACTATAAGTCATTGCACTTTCAAGTATACTACTAACATGTACGTGACTATTGAGAATTCACTTAATTACCATACCATGTGGTCGTGACAATATATGATCGTGGGTTTCTTTAATATAATTTGTTCGACTAAACGAATCGATACAATATTTGAATGAGAGCGGTTTTGAAGATATAATGACTAAGAAATACTTAAAATACCAGCCATTACCTAAACTAATAAAGTATACCTTCATTTTCGGTAACCTAATCGTAGAAACTTCATTATTAAGCACGTTTTACTTATAACAATTCTATATTGGGTAACCTCCTCCTAACTCGGGTTAGTCTATAAGGTTAGTTTTCCTCACTCCCACGAGGGTACATTTGTATTCTCGAATTTGAATGATTTTTTTTTCTTTATTATAAATTAATTTAAGAGTATTTTTAAATTTTAATTTTGACCCGACATTAATTGTTGCGAATAAAATTAAAATTTAAGGTTAAAATAATCTGTATGGGTCAACCCATGGCATTAGGGCATGTGAACAAAATGTAAAGAAACTAACAAAGCAGTCAACATGGCACGACATGTTTCTTTTTATATTTACAATTTATAATACTTATTATTTTATAAAACTTTTGAATTTGTGATAAATTGTTCTATTAAATTTAAAATTTATTTTATTTCTACATATTTGAAAAAAAAAATAATTTTTAAACACTATCGATATTTTTTAATTTTTTATTTTTTTAAAAATTTAGAGATATTTTTATTATTTTAGTGTATATATATAAAATTCATAAACGTATTAAAAGCTTAAATAAGTTTTCTAACATTAAACGGAAAGTTGATGAATATCTATCAAACGCTACAACATTCGAGAATACTTTTGAAAGTTCATCGATAATTTAGTCTCAAAACTTAAAATTTCGTATAATAAATTTAAAGGGTTAAATTATAAATTTAAAGAATAAAATTATAGATTTGTGAAAGTGTTTAGTAAAGTAATTTTTGAAATTTACAATTTTGAAGGATTAAATTTGTATTTAAAAAAAAATGAATTTACTTCAAGTTTGAATTTGAATCAACCACTCATCCTTTTAACAATTATATGGATAAAAGCATAAAAAAAAATTAAAATCAAAAGAGGGAAAAAAATGTAAGAAGAAAACACGTGTAGATTAAAGGATGTTCATGATTGAAACATTTAATTCCAAATGAACTCAGATGATCCATAATTTACATATTCAAATAACAAAAGAAAAATCCAACAAAAATGGTTGCTTTCTTCCTCAGATACGAGTTTAATAAAAAATTTACAACTTTTTTTGACAGAGCGAGAGAAAAAAAGAAATTAAAAATAATAAAAAAAGAAGAAATTTATACAAAACGCGGCTGCTGTTCACACCAAAAAACCGGGGGAGGGAGAGAGAGAGAGAGAGAGGAAGGGTGAGGGAGTTGGTTTTTTTGCTTGGCAATTCCAGCTAAAGAATCGTAATTTACAATTTATGAATTTTGAGTTAACTCAACAGAGATCGAACCCTGCTTCTGCAGGAGATCGGTGATTTTGATTTGTTTCTAAGAACAGCAGTTCCTTTTTTGTTCGTTGTTTCCTTCTATTTCTCCAGAATTTCGAGTGGGTTTCCTTCTAAATTTCGATTTGGGGGTGGGTTTTGATTCTAATCCCTTGATCGGGTGGGATTGCAAGTGTTTTTGGGAAAACCCGTTATTGGGTTTTTGTGGGTTTTTGGTTTTATGAGATGGGTTGGTTGAAGATTTGGGCTTGGATGTTGGTGAGGGCAACGGCGGCTTGGTTCTGAGGTAGCTGCGCAAGGTTGGACTTATTCCGTTCTTCGTGTTCTTCGTGTTCTTGTTCTTGTTCTTGTTCTTGTTCTTCGAATGGGTACTCAACGATTTCTGTGAGGGGCAGGGATGCGAGGAAGGAAATAGCGGTAGGCGGTGCCAGGAGAGACATGGAAGATACTGAGCTTGAAGAGGGAGAAGCTTGTTCATATCAGAACAATGAAGATTTTGATTCAAATATGGACCCTGATGTTGCTCTCTCCTACATAGTAAGCCTTTTGTTCATCTTGTTTTTCTATGATTGCAAGTTCTAGATTCTCGATTTGACCTTGTTTGCTCATTTAGATCCAGATTTTGGTGTTTTTGAATTCTGGGTTTTGTTATTGGCTTTTGAATCAGCTCTTTAAGTTCCATTTCTTTTACTTCTTTTTCAATGCTCTGGAGTCAATGTGTTTCAGCTCATAGTTGTGTTTAAGTATGGTTTTCCTGGCTTGTTCATAGTGGTAGCAAATGATTCCATGAGTTTTCGATCTCTTACTCGAAGTGGCCGTTAAGCGTAATAGTAGAATCGAGCATTCCTGGCTAGACTATAGCATTTTGTGATGTTTAACTCATCTGCTGAATGGAGTATCTGTTTATTGACTGCGACACTTCGAACCGAGGTTTCGTGTTTCTAATATCTATTATATGTGTTTGATAGCCTTTTGACTTGTTGAACAGGATGCAAAACTTCAACATGTTTTGGGGCACTTTCAGAAAGATTTTGAAGGTGGAGTCTCTGCTGAAAATTTGGGTAAGTCGAAACACGAAAGAGATGTGTTTTTTTGTTCCTGTGGTATGCTAGCTTTAGTTGTGTTCTTTGAAGTAATAATTTGACGCCGATATGCTTACCATAGGAGCAAAATTTGGGGGATATGGTTCGTTTTTACCTTCTTATCAACGGTCTCCGGTTGTTCCTCTTTCAAGGACTCCGCCGAAAGGTCATAATTGCAGTACATCCAGATCTCCCAATAATTTTCAGGAGGTAAATTTGTTTTCTTTCTTTCGATTTTGGGATTGATGGGGGCGTTATTGAGCATCAAAGACATGTTCCTATTCAGGTTGGCCATAATAACTCTGTGGTTTCTTCAACTACACCTCAGTCGATTAGACCTGGTCCTCCTTCTACTAGTTCTACGTCACTACCCATAATCGAAGCACCAAATCTGAATGAATCATCCAGACAAGAAGCATGCATGTCTTTCCCGTATGTTGAAGAACGTGGTTCTGGATATGGATGTGTGAACAATAAGTCCACTACTTCTTCAGATCAAAAATCACTGAAGGTGCGAATTAAAATGGGTTCTGATAACCTGTCGACAAGAAAAAACGATGCGATCTATAGTGGTCTTGGCCTAGATGTTTCACCATCTTCGTCGTTAGACGACAGCCCCTCAGAAAGTGAAGGGATCTCTCGTGAGCTTCAAGATGGCCCGTTTGGATCTCCAACGAGCATTCTTCAGGTATATCTGTGTAAAAACATGCTCGTAGTTTCTCCACCTCATTTTCCTGTATTTCTTTTCTTTACTGCTATAATGTGCCTCAGTGATCAAAATGCAATTAATTCGTGGAGCAGATGATGACATCGTTTCCAGTTCAGGGAGGTCTCTTGCTATCACCTCTTCCCGATGATCTTATTCACCTGACTCGAACGGGGAAGCCTGGAAGAGATAAAAAAACTACTCGTGTCCAACAGTACAATCAAGACCCTCCCTTAGCAGGGTTGCCTTCGTTGAAAGGGGGTCAAATGATAGTTGAGAAGAAAATGTCGAAAGATATAAATGACTTCGTGTCCGAATCAAAGAACACAAATAGGAGGGATTTTCTGAATGGCTCAATTATGTCAAAAAAGACGTCAGAAATCGATACAGTAGCTTGTGAGGAGCTTGTTTCTAATGCGTTAAAGCTTCCGCTTCTAGGAAATTCATATGCCATATCAGTTGATACTACGAAAAGTACGAACAGGGCATCTGAAATGTTAATGGAGGCAGATAAAGTTATGGCAAGGGACAGACATCTTTGTGATCAACTGGAAGAGGGTCCAGCAGTAGAGCCTCCGTTTACTACGGAGGATGAGAAGCAAACGAATGGTTCATCTGGAAAGGTTAGGGAGCCAAAAAAATCCAATAAGTTTGACGATATTTCGGTTTCTGCAAAAAAATCTGGAGAAAGCAAGAGGGAGAAAACAATTGACTCGATCGAGGCTGCCTCAAAAGGAAAGAATGCTTCGAATGGTGATCAAATTGATCCTCTCAAGCAGAATTTGAATCATAAAACTACTACTCATGCACATAGCAACACGAAGCATGTTTCGGGAAAGGATAATTTAATCCCCGAGGGCAAAAAGAAGGCAAAGTTTAGTCAAACAGATTGTATCCCCAATGGAGAGGTATCAAAACGTAGTGCGAAGTCTGGCTCTTCAGGTTCAAAAACAAAGAGTACTAGTAAAGATGACAACATTTCAACCAGACCGGAAGTTGAAGATCCTAAGCTGCAGAACTCTAGAAAAACGAAAGATAGATACCGAGATTTCTTTGGGGAACTGGAAGAAGATGATAATCTATTAGATTCATCAGAGATTCCTTTTGAGGATCAACTAAATCACTCTGATGAAAAGCCAACACATAATATTCCTGCATCGAAGGAGAGATTATTTGTTGAGAAAATTGGCAAGCCTTTGGTATCAAAAGCGTTTCCGGAAGTAGTCATGAATCCTTCCGGTGGGACGATAAAGGATGCGGCTCCTGCTGCAGTGGACAATGTAGCTCCACAAGACAACTGGGTTTGTTGTGACCGGTGTCAAAAATGGCGGCTTCTTCCATTAGGTACAAATCCTTTCAGCCTACCCGAGAAGTGGATCTGCAGCATGCTCGATTGGCTGTAAGTTCGATTCTACTGCAATTTTTGTCTATCACATAGAATCTTCAAATAATATTACTGAATGGTTTTTTTTCTTTATGAATCTGTAGTCCTGGAATGAACCAATGTATGTTTAGTGAGGAGGAAACGACGAAAGCTCTAATAGCCAAGTTCCAAGCACCGGCTGCTCCTGAGGGTAATATTTACAGTAATCTTAGTGGCGTTATGCCGGGAGGGGTTAATGCTCGACCATCTGGGCAAAATCACCGTCATTATGATTTTAATGCTCCGCCTGGCAGTGGAAAAAAGAAACACGGATCAAAAGAAAGACCATGTATAACACTTAAAGGGGATGCACCTCAGCTATCAAACTCAAAGAAGCATGAAGGAGCAATGAAAAGCAAAAGTTTAGATGATGTGAACCAGTTGCCTTTCAGAGATGAAGCTAACTTTTGTTTAAACAAGTCGGGTGATGTTCCTGTTGAGAAGCACAAGCATAAGTATAAAGAGAAGCAGGAATCTGTCGATATCTTATCCGATGAAGGCACGGTTTTCTATTTTTTAGCGCTGACCTCGTTTACTTGCTCTACTTACTTCACCTTAGGAATCTTACTTTTGGATAATCATTTGCACAGGTGCTACCAAGATTTTAAAGACTAAAAACAGAAAAGAGAAAGAACCAGATTGTCCTAGACCTTCAAAGAAAGTTAGAACCGATGGCTTGGAACTGACCGATGAAGAGCAGATATCGGGGCACAGTGGGCCTATTGTGAAAGCTGGCCCAAGCTTGAGCATTGACTTTCCTTCTGCATCAGGTGGAACTAATAAGTCTAAAAATACGGACCATTCGTCTAAGGACTGGAAATATAACACAAATGTTATCGAACGAGTACCGAACGATAAAAGAGAAAACAAACAGCTGGGAGTCGTGGATGATGATTCCCTGGGAGGAGGAAATGGTAGTACCAAAAGCAATTCAAAGAAGAGAAAAGTGAAAGCGTCCCCAGATATTCAAACTAAGACTGGGTCGCTCAATGGTTCTGGCCATCTCCTGCAGAATAGAGGTACTGTTACCGAGCTCAGTGATAACGACCGTAGGAAGGAGAAAAAGGCAAAGCTATCTAAGCCTCCAGGTAAAGAATCCAGTGGTAGAAAAGAGAAAAAAGGTTATTCTAAGAATTGGCCTCATGGACAAGATGTAGGGAGCACTCTTTCTCATCGAAGTTTGGATGGCACCGATTCTTTGAAAAGGGATTTAGGAGTGATACAACCTTCTCTAGTGGCGACTTCAAGTTCTTCTAAGATATCGGGTTCACATAAAACGAAATCCAGTTTTCAGGATATCAAAGGATCGCCAGTAGAATCTGTTTCTTCATCACCTATGAGAATACCTAACCGAGATAAGATTGCACTGCCGTCAAGGGAAAGTAAGGATTTTCTGGATGGTGGTCATATGAGGTGCTCCGATGGGGAGGAAGAGGACGGTGGTAGTGATCACTCTGGGGCTGGTAGCAAGAAAAAGTCTGTTGTGGCTCATCGTAGGTCTTTAAAGTCCCCCTTGATCAATACCGTAAACAAAGATGTTACTAATATTTCAGGGAAAAAAGCTAAAGCAAAAGGGAAGTCTTCCTCTGATGTCCCTGGCAATTCAGGAATTGATCATCAGCATCCTTGCAAACCATGGACCGAACAAGTTCAGAATGAAGATAAACCAAATGAAATGCGATATAGGGGCAGCGAGCCATATCCAGACAAAAGCGGAAAGGATTTATCTTCACAGTCGAAGGACAAAAGTCGGAGCTATGGTTTGGACGTTGGCATGGATAAGGACAGGGTTCCTTATTCCCATGATGATTTGAGGGGAAGGTCTCCTCCACATTCTGATTTGAAGGTTAAGAATGGTAAGCACAAGTTACAGGACAACTCTAGGATAAAATCTGGAGATGCTAGGAAGGACAGTTCGGGTAAACTGTCTGTTGAGTTCGGTAAAAGAGAAAGTGAATTAAATTTTGTCAAGCATGAAGGTCCATATTCTACAGTGGATAGCAATTCCGGGAAGAATCAGCAGCATGATTGCAATGGTACCGCTTCAAAGAGGTCCCTTTTTCAGAAAAACGATCAACTTGAAAAAGTCTCCGGAAAAAGTACACTGGCACCATTACCAAACTCGGGAGAACTTCGAAATCAGACGCTGCATTGCCCCCCTTCAGCAGGGAGTAGAAAAGGAAATGTGACCGATATTTTGCGAGTAGATGCTTCTGAAAGCAATGCTGTGTCAAACGGGAAAAAGCATGTTAAGAATCGTCAAAAGGAAGCTCAGACCAATGGTTCAAGGCATTCCACTCCCGACGAGCGGGTACCCATTGATGCACCAAGTCCAGCCAGAAGGGACTCCAACCAGGCTGCTACCAAAGCTATGAAAGAAGCTAAAGATTTAAAACATCTTGCCGATCGTTTTAAGGTCTTTAAATGCGTACATTCTCGATTTGCTCTTTCTGATCTTCATATTCTAATTCATTTGTATTTTCTCCTCAGAATTCTGGGTCCCATCTCGAATCTATCGGGTTTTATTTCCAAGCATCCCTTAAGTTTCTTCATGGAGCCTCCTTGCTCGAGTCGTCCAACAATGAGACTTCCAAACAGTCGATGCAAATATACAGTAGCACTGCAAAACTATGCGAGTAAGTCAAAATAATATCTTCTGGATTTATTCCTTAGTCCTGGATTTCGTGTTGTTACTTTTAGCTGCTCTTTTGGACTTATTTACTCTTCATAAATAATTTCGTTCAATTCGACTTCGAATCATTAATTTCCTTGATAACACGCAACACACAACCCGAATAAAGGACCCAATTACTACCATTGGATCGGGTTGGCTAACATTTCTTTTTATAAGAAACAATTTCATTGAGGTATAAATTTTTTTTTAAAAAAGGACGATAAGTCCTTTGAGATTACCGAAAGCTTTCCCCATTGGTCAAAAGAGAAGCATTAGAATATGCATAATAAAGATCTTGCTGTTGGACAATGTTTTTCCAAGGTTCTTTGGCAGTGGTTAATGTATCCCAATTTAAATAAGGTAGCAGACCCGTACTTTTGTTCGGTTTTCTCCAAAGAGCTTGCTTTTCTTGGTTGTATCGCCAAACCCGTTTAGCCAGACCAGCTTTTTTTTTTGTCCATCAATGAGTATAAAGGCCAAGGCCTCTTTGGTCTATATGAGGTAGAGGATGTTACCCCATCTAACAAGATGTTTGCCGCTCGGGTTAGCCCCCCTTTGCAGCCATATTTTCTATATGATTGGAACAACGTTAAGCGGAAGCCCCAGATAAGTATTAGGCCATGAACCCACTTCAAATTTTGTTGAAAATACAGTAGGTTTGTCGACGATGCGTTTAGTTTCGTTTGAATTTTGATGCCATTCAAAGCCTAAACTTTTCAATGACTGCAGGTTTTGTGCTCATGAATATGAGAAAATGAAGGACATGGCTGCAGCTACTTTGGCATACAAATGTGTGGAAGTCGCTTACATGAGGGTGATTTATTCTTCACATAACAGTGCAATCCGAGACCAGCACGACCTGCAGCGAGCTCTGCAAATGGGTCCCTCTGGTAATAAGGATGCATTGAAAATGTAGATAAACTCGTCTCTTTTGTCTGAGTACCCCTCATTTCTTTATATACTCTCTAAAAGTATGTCGATTTGATGTTTTTCTAAGGTTCGGAACCGAAAGTATACTCTAGGAGATAGTTAAAACTGTTGCACGATGTTTCCGAATTCATGCTAATGCATAGGGAGGTGCTGAAGGCTCTAATAACACTCTTGTTGCTTTGTGATGCATTGTTATCAGGGGAATCTCCTTCATCTGCCTCTGATGTTGATAACTTAAATAACCCAGCTGGAACCGACAAAGCCACTCTTTCTAAGGGCGTCAGCTCGAGCCGAGCTACTGGATCCCATGTCATTCCTGCTAAAAGCCGTCCCAATTTTGTACGGTTGCTTAATTATGTACGTATTTTCTAGATTTCATACTTGATATTTTGATTATATTAGAGAGTAATATTTTGTTCGATAAGCTGCATTGCACCCGATATACGTTGTCGATATTTTGAAGGATGGTTGGTATTTAAAGTTTTCCCGTTCGGTCACCGAGAAGGAATTTCATTTCTTCAGTGAAAATATTACCTTTAAGATTTCAACAATGGCAATTTCACAGGCACAGGATGTAAATTTTGCCATGGAAGCATCGAGGAAATCACGAATTGCTTTCGCAGCTGCAAATGCAAGCTCGGGAGGGACAACAACCAATAAGGAGGGTATCTCTTGCATCAAAATGGCCCTTGATTTTAACTTTCAAGATGTTGAAAGCCTGCTGACTCTAGTACGGGTTGCGATGGAGGCAATTAACCGTTGAAAAAACCGAGTGATTATAGAAATGAATTTCGACTTCGGGACTTGTCTGGTTGGTATGTTGCTTTGAGAAGCGTTGATGAGGAAAGGAGAAGAGACCGCCCTCCATTACACGAAAACCCCGTTGATAGCCTGATGATTACTGCTTTTAGTGAATCTCTCTGTACATTGTCCTGCTGCTTCGCCATTCATTTTGCTTGATTTGCACAGAGGCTTCTGTATATGAAGGTTCTTTTGAGTTCTTATGCTTGAGCTCGTAGGGGCTTCAATTTGTCTGCCCCATCGGTGACACCTTACCATCGCATGTCGTTCTCGAACTTGGGTCGTGCTAATCCAAAGGACGAGACATGTAAAATTTGACGATCGTCGTAAACCTTCTGCAATTTGTGTTCGAACGCCACCGAAGGGGGTGACAAAAGGTGATGTCTTTCATAATATAACACAATCTTACTTAATTTTCTCTTCACATTCAAATGCTGATTCTGCTTTCTGCTTAACTGCAGGTTTTGTTTATATTTTTTAGTTTTTTTCCTGTTATATTATGGGACGGAACAAATAAATAATACGACAAATTGTAATAATAACATCAAGTACATGCTTGTAGCTCCCGGCACCGAGGTCGTTCGAGTTAATTTACTCCAGGTTTGTCGAGCTGTGGACATTCTAAGTTTTTTCTTTTATGTTGGCTGCATAACTATATATCTTCCTTTTCATTTATTGGCAGTTCTGTATATATCCTTGCACAAGTCATTGAACTCGGTTAGTATAGATTAAAGAAGGCTCGACGTTTTTTTCTAGAGAAGAATTAACAAAACGACGGGGGACAAGGGAGCTTATCGTCGTCCTACACGATCAGCTGGAACGTGCAATAATCATGGTAATTTCTTTCTTTCTTGTCAATTATCACGCTTCTTGCTTTATCCACACAATAGATGGTATAACTTGTTCATACTTTTCTTGGTTTGTTGATCCATTATTCTTGGCTGGAAGGCTGTAGTTTGGTTCTGTAATAGGCATGTGTTTTGCTTGAGTTTTTGCCCACCTCTAGTAGATCTGGTGGAGTCTCATGCTTGTCCAAGTACATTACTAGCCGATATTGTCCTACTTTCCCTCAAGGTTTTTAAAACACGTCTACTAGGGGAGGTTTCCACACCCTTATAAAAAATGCTTTGTTCTCCTCCCTAACCGATGTGGGATCTCATAATTCATCCTCTTTGGGGTCCAACGTCCTCGTTGGCACTCGTTCTCCTCTCCAATTGATATAGGATCTCACAATTCACCCACCTTCGGAGCCTAGCGTCCCCGCTGACACTCATTCCTCTCTTTAGTCGTCGTGGGATCTCACAATTCACCCATCTTCAGGGCTTAGTATCCTTGCTGGTACACTGTCCGGTGTCTGGTTCTTATACAATTTGTAACCGCCTAAGCCCACCGCTAGCAGATATTGTCCTCTTTGGACTTTTCCGTTCGAGTTTCCTCTCAAGGTTTAATACATCTGCTAGGGAGAGGTTTCCACACCCTTATAAAGAATGCTTCGTTCTCCTCCCCAACCGAAGTGAGATCTCATAATCCACCCCTTTTGTCCACTTTGAGCACAATCTCTCTTGTCTTTACTTTTAGTTTCCTCAAAAGGCTTCATACTAATGAAGATGCATTCCTTACTTATAAATTCATGATCATTTTCTTAATTAACGATCGTGAGACTACTTTTTATTCAATACAAGTCGGGCTATGATTAATCTCACTGCAGGTTGCAGGTTGTGTTGTTGGAGGAGATGAGATGGGTGTACGCACAGAGCAGCACAGAGGCTTTCACTGTCCTTTCTCTCTGATTGTGTGTGTACTAAGTAAGCCATTGAGTGTGTACTAAGTAAGCCATTGAGGGTTAAGTGTAACCCCCCCC